AAAGACAAATAAGTTTAATGGGCTCACAGTTCTACATAGTTGTGGAGGCCTCACAATCCTGGCAGAAGGCAAAAGGTATGTATTACATTGCAGCAGGCAAGAGAGAATGAGAGCCAAGTGAAAGGGGAAACCCTTTATAAAATCATCATATCTGGTGAGACTTACTCGCTACACGAGAACAGTATGGGAGAAACTGCCCCCATAATTTAATTATCTCCCACTGAGTTCTTCCCACAACACATGGGAATTATGGGAGCCACAATTCAAGATGAGATGGATTATTGAGGAGGACACAGCCAAACCATATCAGCAGATATTGAGTTTTTGCTTCCAGATGTTGGACTCCCCTAAGCATTTCTTGCAAGGTTGGTCTAGTGGGGATAAATTATCTCTTTTTGCTTGTTTAGAAACAACTTTATTTCCCTTTCACCTTTTTTTTTTTTTTTTTTGAGTTGGAGTCTCACTCTGTCACTCAGACTGGAGTACATTGGCATCATGTCAGCTCACTGCAATCTCCATCTCCTGGGTTCAAGCAATTCTCCTGCCTGAGCCTCCTGAGTAGCTGGCATTACAGGTGCCTACCACCATTCCTGGCTATTTTTTCTATTTTTTAGTAGAGACGGGGTTTCACCATTTTGGCCAGTCTGGTCTTGAACTCCTGACCTTGTGATTCATCTGCCTCGGCTTCCCAGAGTGCTGGAATTACAGGCATTGACCCACCCCCCCGGGCCCCCTTTCAATTTTAAATTTTCCCTTTTTTTTTTTTTTTTTTTTTTGGTTAAGTTTTCTGTGCCTTTGCCCATTTCTTATCATTCTGGAACACCCAAAATTTAAATATTTTACCACTTTGTGGTGCCTCATGTGTCTTGTATGCTCTTTTCGTTCTTTATTATTTTTTATTTTTATTTTTTGTCTAATGGAATTATTTCAAGAGATCTGTCTTCAAGTTCAGAAATTTCTTCTGCTTGATGCAGTATATTGTGCTTGATGCTCTTCATTGTATTTTAGAATTTTTCATTTATTAAGTTCTTCAGTTCCAGGATTTATTTGTGCATGTGTTTTTTAAATGATTTCTATCTCTGCTGAACTTTCATTCAAGTTATAATTTTCTTTCCAATTTATTTGTAGTATTTATCCATGTTCTCTTATTTTACTGATTTTGTGATATCATTATTTTGATTTTTTTAGGCATTCTATAAATTTCCTTTTCTTTGGGATTTGTTACTGGAGAATTTGGAGGTATTATGCTTTCTTGCTTTGCTTTTCTTTTTTTTTTTCTTTTTTTTTTGTTTTCTGAAATGGGGTTGACCAGGTTGAAGTACAATGGTGTGATCTTGGTTCACTGTAACTTCTGCCTCCCAGATTCAAATGATTCTCCTGCCTCAGCCTCCCAAGTAGCTGGGATTACAGGCGTGTGCCACTGCACCCAGCCTGCTTTTCACTTTTTGTGTCTTTATATTGGTATCTGCACATCTGATATACCAGACATTTTGTCCAATGTTACAGATTGGATGAGAATCTTTCAAAAGAAAATATTTTTTTATAAAGATATATCTACAGTGTGCATTGGGCAGGGTGCTTTCACTTTTACTCTGGGTGGGTGCAGAAATGTGGTCTCTGCATGATTTCTTTAACTGTAATCAACATCAATGATGTCTGTGAATTCCTCAGTGGCTTAGGTGGCAGTTGTTATTGGAGGCTATGCCAAGACTTTCCTGGGGATGGGGACTCCAGGAGGGCTGGTCCTTGTGCACCACTGGTACCACTGGTGGGTTGCGGGTGCTAGTCCTTGGGCCCTGGGTGATGTGCATGGCATTGGTAGTGGCAGTGGCGGTGGTGGGCCAACTCATAACCCCCATGTGGCTTGCACAGATGCCCGTGGTGGATGGCCGGTGGCTGGGCTGGTATCCAAGTCCCCTAAAGGCACATTCAGGTACGTGACCACCCTGCCACTGGAGGAGACTGGGCTGCTGTCAGTGGCAGTGGTCCACGGCAGGCAGCTTTCAAACTCTGGGGATTACACACTTCCTTTGTTCCCAAGGCAGCCTCCTGCTGTGCTGCACCACCCGTTTTCCAGAGTGTAGGACGCTGTGTGGGTTAGAGTGCTATTGGTCCAGCCACGCCACTGTGTCCAGCCAGCATTGCAATGCTGCAGCCCTGTGGGTGGATGCAGGGGAATGTCAGTGGGGCTCCAGGTATGTGAAAGGTCAGGGGCTGTTGGTCCTCAGGGCGGGATGTAGTCTTGTATGGACTGAGCTTCTCAGAATGGCATCATGTTGCAGTTACTTGGACGTTGGGGGTGTTTGACACACAGTGCAAACTCTCTCCCTGAGACAATGCCATCACATTGATGGCAGGCAGCTCTTTATACCAGTCTAAGGGTCCACAAGGGCCAAGGGGCTCACCCATGGCTAGGATTGCAAGAGCCCTTGGTGGGAATGTGAACCACTAGGGATCTCTTGCTTACCAGTTTTCCATAATGGGGAGTTACTTCTCTATATTTTTAAAATATAAAACTGTTCTTAAAAAAAATCAATTTTTAAAAGGAAAGGCCATAGAGATGAGTTTATCAGAGTGACACCTTTAAATCTGGTAAAATTTAAATGGGTGGAGCTCAGAGACAGAACACCCATCCCACGATCTCTGGGATCTGGCAGCAATGGAGCTAGGAATACACAGAGCTTTGACTTACCTTCTGGAAGATCCCAGGGGATCTCGTGACTGTTTATTTCCCTCTTGGATAGGGAAGAAGTTATGGACTTAGACCATTCTTTCATGAAACAAGATAAATGGGAGGATCAAACATCAATTGAGTGTACCTTAGGGAAGAGAGAAAAGGGTTTCAGATAGAACTTGCTTAAAGCTTGGGTTTGCTGTCTATTAGCTATTTTGTCTTTGAGCAAGCGACATAATATCTCTGGAGGTATTTCATAATTTACATTTTACTAGAGTTTATTGGTAAAATGCAAATAATTATATTAATATCTACTCATCCGAGAGAGTTGTGAATATTCAATTATATAATTTAGGGAAATGTCCAAAATAGTGTTAACACACAGTCAACTACTAACATTTTGTTTTTCTTCCTTTCTTCCCTTTCAATAAACAGGAGAAAGAGTAAATGGGAGAAAGTAACACTTTGTCCGGTGTCAGGCTGGAGGAAGCCACTTGCAGATGTGTCTGCCTCTACCTTAGGATTACCTGCCCTTCCAAGTTATGTCTGCTGATTTGCGCTCTGTATTCACCAATTTTTCTTTTACCATATTTCTCTCTTACTGACCCTGAGAGTGACCATATTTTTAACCAGTTTGGTCCTCAGCCTCAAAGCTTAGCTTTTTCCTTTTGTGGTTGCTGAATCCTATCACTTGTCATAGTGGCTGCTCAGTTTTGAGGCTGTGAAGGTGTTTGCCAAGCCTGCTGAGAAGGCACAACTGTGGCATCTGAGAGCAGAGATTTTGACTCTGGACCCCTGTGAATTGTCTTGGGAATTATGGATACACAGCATGATTTTGAAATACCAGTGGACGTCCAATTCTCAAAAGCCCTCAGAGCTTTGGGGGAGACCACTTCATCTCTTTGGCATGTCAGAGAGCCAATTCAACCCTTCTCATCTCCTCCTCCTTCCCTGTCTTGGGCAATGAGGATGCAGCAGCAACTCAGCATGCATGTTTTTATAGCTCTTCTCTGGTAATGCTGCCATTTCAACTGCAGACCATGGACTAAAAGGACCACTTCGCAGTGGCTCAGGATACTCTTTTAAGTAGGAGGTAACTATTCAGTTTCTTTGTGGCCCATATATAAACTTGATTATGTTCTTCATTACTCCAAGATACTATCTGTTTGTTTTTTCCCAGAGGGAGAAGAAAGTACTACTTCGATATAAAATTAAGCAAACATTCCTCAAATAACCATCGTGGGACTTGACCACTAATGGTGACCAGCAGTGGCTTTGTCATGGCTTTGCCCACTGGGGACAGGCACATGCCAGGGCCAGGGTAGGCTGCCGGCTGGTAAGCACGAATGGGTGCTGGTGGAGTGCACACAGTGGGAAGGGCAGATGGTTCCATTCTGATGTGTTAGCAAGCTGCTTCCCCGGGAGGGGCTTTCCCTTCTGTGGAGTCTGCACCCCCCGTCTCAGCTGTCTGGGAGCAGATGTGTATAGTTAGAGATGCAGACCTTTTCACTGTAAATACAGCTCACATGTTCCTAGGCTGACTTTACTATGTGCAGAGCCTCTTCTCAAATATCCAAATCCCCAATGCTGGGTACTACAGAACAGATGTTACCCTGCCTCCTATTACATTAATTTACGAACTTTGCATATGCTGAGTTATGGACCTTGAGCTGTTGCATGTGCTCAGCTGTTATGTTTCAAAAAGTACGTTTTTATGGCTTTGTGGAAACTGTGCTGTTCTGCTTTTGCAGTCTGTGAGATTCTGTTTTTTTTCTTTTTTTCTAATCAGCAATTATCCTTGTCCTGGAACATCAGAGCTTGAAGAAGGGATTTTAGCAGCCCACATATCTCTTTCCTAATCCAGGTGATTAGAGGCTTAGAGAGAGGTGGTAGTTTCTCTGAGTTTACTGGATTCAGTGACAAACTCAAAGCCCAAACCCCTTCCCCTAATTTCTAATCAATCTGGCAGCATTCGTTTATCAAAAGCTGACTTTGATGATATAACTTTTACACACTGTGAGACAACATATTTTAAATAAACACCTCAGAAATCTTTATTTTTTTGAAAGACATTTTAAGGTCAAGCACCATGAGTCATGTCTATAAACTCAACACTTGGGGGCCAAAGTGAGAGGATCATTTGAGGCCACATTTCAAAACCAGCTTAGAGACACCTCAGTCTCTAAAAAATTTAAGAAAATAGCCAAGTGTGGTGGTGCATGCCTATAGTCCCAGCTACCTGGAAGGCTGAGATTGAGTAAGCCGTGATTGCACCACTGCACTCCAGCCTGGGTGACAGAGCGGTCACGAAAAAAAAAAAAAGAAAAAAGAAGCTTTTTAGTGCCCTTTTAGGCTCAGAGCAAAACGAGTAGAAGGTACAGAGATTTTCCGTATTCTTCCTGCCCCTGCAACAAACATGCCCTGCCTCCTTCATCATCAGCATTCCTTCCCAGAGTGGTACACTTTTTATAAGTGATGATCCTACACTGACACGTCACCGTCACAACGAGTTCCTCGTTGACAGCAGGGTGCACTCTTGGTGTTGAACATTCCAGGCTTTTGGACAAATGTATAATGACATGGCTCCACCACCGTAGTATCACACAGATGAGTTTCACTGCCCTAAAGTCCTCTGTGCTCCACTGATATTTATTCCCTCATTCCCCTGCCCCCTCAACCCCTGACAACCCCTGATCTTTTTATTGTCTCCATACTTTGGTCTTATTTAATGTCTTTTGAGGTTGCACTGCTGCCCTAAGACACCATATGAGTAGAGGGTTAGCCACCTCAGCCAAGAGTCATTTGGTCTGGTCAGGTCTCCACCTTCGGGACAAAAACATTTCAGAACCATCCTAACAATAGTGTTCCTGTAGTAACCAGACACTGTTTGTATCCATGGCAACGTGGCTCCACGAGCACTGCTTCCGAGGAGCAGCTGCCCTTCCTGGGCACCATCAAGAGTTGTTCTTCTCTGACATCCATTCCCTTCTTGCCCTGGCACACACCCCAGCCCGGGTACCAGGCAGCCAGGGTCTTCCATGGCTGTCCAGATGCATTTCTTCACAGCTGGAATGTGGTTGGCTTGTGGATTTCTGTTTCCAGCATAGTGGACAGTGGGCACTATAAACCAGTAGGCACTCAATTGATGATTCTTCAGTGAAATAACTGATGCCACATTTAGGTCAGTCTTTCTTGCATATCTTCTGTTCTTCAACAGAGTCCCGCAATACCCTAGAACTTTATCTTGGGGTTTCTGAGACGGTGGAGTACCCAGCTGTCACTTGCTGCAGAGTTTCTGAGTCAGTACCTCTGGGGCAGACCCAGTACTCTGCATGTGAGCACAGATCCAGGTGGTTCTGACCCTGGTGCTCCAGAAAGCAGACAATAGGACTGCATGCTTTAGAGGCAGTGGGTATCATCCATCCCTATCTATGGCAGTGATTACAGGGCATGCCCTGGCCACATGAGCACATGCTATTATAATTATTTCGTGGGATGGATGAGCTACAGAACTGGAGTCGTAATACTTGAGTTCTGGTTTCAACTCTGCCAGCCACTGGCTGATTGAAACAGAACAAGCCACCCGCCTTCCCTGAGACTGTCTCTTCTCCTGTGAAATTGGGGCATTAGAATACATGAAGAGCCCTTTATGTCCTTAATAAACTGTGAGTTTAAGAATCCAGGGAATCTCCATGCTGGTGGCTGCAGTTACATCCCCTTATCCTCAATCCGTCAAGAAAGAGTCAACAAAGGCGGCAGGGTTGTCAGCTGCTCTCCTTAGCAGGTCTCGTGAGGGAATTGCCTTCGCCTTCCCCAGCCACCACCACACTCCCAAGCGGCCACCATCACCTGAACCATCTGGCAGTGGGGTTCCCCTCCTAAAACTGAGACACAGAGGCCACCGCAGACGTTTCTTCCGGGCTGTCCTCCACTCCCTCCCAAAGGCTCGGTCCTGTTGGGGTGCACACCTCCAAGGACTCACTTTCTGTGTTTCCTATCTACTAGTGTTACAGAAACTGCTGCAGACCAGGGGCCAACAGCCCATAGGTTCCACTTCTTGCTGTGACACTAATGAGATGGGTGACTGCTGGCAAGCTACTTTATCTCTCTGACCCTAACTCCCATGTGCAAAATTGGGTCCTGAAGTCCAAATTTGAATTCTTTGTGCAAAATACACATGGCCAGGTCCTATCCTCAGAGACCCTGACTCAGTCCAGGGAAAAGTTGAGATTTTGGGGAGAAAACAGCTCTATAGAGGAAGGAGTCTAGCCTTCACGGAGTGCCAAGATCTCCGGTTTCTCGGTTAACAATGTTACCCTAACTAATCCATAGTCTGATGTCACCTGCTAACAACTTACCCTGTAGCGTCAAACCAGTAGCCCATTTGCAGCTAGTACAAACACTCCTTTACATTTATGTTTTGTTTACGAGATTTCGCCTATAATAATAGATCCTGCCAGTCGGCCTGCAAATGCATATGTTCCATTGCTAATAGGAAAAACTGCATCTAATATAAACGTTCTCTCTGGGAGCTTAGCACAGAGGCAGGCCTTGCATTGCAAACATTTGAAAAAACATAACCAGGTATTCTGGACTGTGTTTTAAATCACCTGAGAACATTTCTTGAACACTAGCATTTGCTTAGAGTGACAAACCTATTAAGTGGTTCTTTCAGTTAAGTTTGCATCTAAGCAATGCCGTATGAATAGCAGGAGGAAGCCAGGAGCTGTATCTGGCTTTCTGGCCATACAAATGGCATATGGGAAAGTCATTGTATATTATTAATATCTTTTGATGTATATTTTTATGACTTTCTCACAATATTAATGTTATTGGTTTTTATTAATGTTATTTTTATAGCAATGCTAATATTATGAGCTGAAAGTTCTGAGCATCTGCTGGGTGCCAAAAATTCTTATAAATGCTTTATATGCATCAGCTTCTAACAACATTATGAAGTAATTCTTATTGTCCTCACTTGACATATACAAGAAATAAAAACCTGAGCATTAGGCTGGACGCGGTGGCTCACGCCTGTAACCCCAACACTTTGGGAGGCCAAGGTGGGCAGATCACCTGAGGTCAGATGTTCGGGACCAGCCTGGCCACCGTGGTGAAACCCTGTCTTTACTAAAAATACTAAAAAAAATAGCCAGGTGTGGTGGTGGATGCCTGTAATTCCAGCTACTAAGGAGGCTGATGCAGGAGAATTGCTTGAACACAGGAGGCAGAGGTTGCAGTGAGCTGAGATTGTGCCACTGCATGCTAGCCTGGTCAATAAGAGCAAAATTCTGTCTTAAAAAAAAAATGAGCATTTGAAGAATTTTGTCTCGGCGGTGGGGCTTGTGAGCTGTGAGCTGGAATCGGAGTCAAGGCTGGGCTGGTGGAAGGAGTTCACTAGAGCGCCCAAGCTATTTTGTCCTCCAGGACCCTGACTCACCTGCGAGGAGGAGGAATTGTGGCGGGCCTGACACCTTTTCTTTTGCAAACACCAAGAGCAGGTTCTGCAGACTACAACATTGAGGTCACATTCCTGAAGTGCATTTTGGGGAAGGCATTATTTTGGCTACTGCAGGGGCTGAAATATCAGTTTATTAGAATTCAGAAAAAAGTAAGCAAACAAAAAAGGTGTTGGAAGTACTCTCTTGTAGCAATTTTGAAATGTACAACTGGTTCATGTTCACTATAATCATCGTGATGTACTGAAGACTAGGTCTTTTTATTTTTCTTGAACTGGACATTTGTACCCATTAACCTAATGCTCCTAGTATCAAGAAAAGTATCAATATTTAAGGTGACAGATATCCCAATTACCCTGATCTGATTATGTGAATGTGCTGAATTATCATATACACTGCCAAAATATGCACATCTAATATGTATCAATAAAAAACAAAGACAAGCCAGGAGCGGTGGCTCACGCTTGTAATCCCAGCACTTTGGGAGGCTGAGGTGGGTGAATCACAAGGTCAGAAGTTCAAGAGTAGCCTAACCAATACGTTGAAACCCTGTCTCTACTAAAAATACAAAAATTAGCTGGGCATGGTGGCGTGCACCTGTAGTCCTAGCTACTTGGGAGACTGGGGCAGGAGAATCACTTGGACCTGGGAGGCGGAGGTTGCAGTGAGCCAAGATAGCACCACTGCACTGTAGCCTGAGTGACAGAGTGAGGCTCTGTCTCAAAATAAAATAAAACAAAATAGACAAAAATTAAAGCTTTCACAGTAGAAAAAAAAGTTCTAGGGAAATTATGATTACTTGATTTACCTAAACTGAAAGCCTTGCTTGGAATGAATTACTGCTTTTTGAAACATAGTTTTAGAAGAGAGATTCGCATTTAATAGTACTTTGTGCTAAGCACTGTAATCCATGCCCGGGTGCTCACAGCACTTCTCTGGGACCAGGCAGCGCCATCCACTCTGTAAGAGGAAGGTCAGCCTGTTGCCAAGGCCACAGGATAAACAGCTTGCCTGATTAGGAAACCCAATTGGTCTAATTACAAAACACGTGCCTTTGCCCCTTTACCGGGTGATTTTTCTGAAAGGCTGTCTTCAAAAGTCCAACAAAGTTCTGTTCCAGCTGCTCAGGCAGGCTGTGACCATGATTACCAGCCACGCAGCATCAGGAGGAAGGGGCTGTGTGGCCAAGCTCCTTCTCTGGTCCTGCGGGTTTCTGCCTTTGGCTTTCTGAAGTGAGCTGAACTAGAGATTGGGCCCAGCTCAGCAGCGCAGTTTCAGGGGAGCCAGAATACCAACCATTCTAGTCTTCGTTCCCATGAAGGAGAAGCTAAACCACTTTTATTTGCCCATTCTAAGCGCCGGATGTAGTGCAGCTGCTTTACATAAACCCCCCAGCCTTCGGCTCTGCTCCCTGGAGATATCCTACGTCCCTTTCGCATGGCTTAGGAGACTGAAGCACATGAGAACCAAAGGAGGGGTCAAGGGTCACACAACATGTGGGCCTGAAACTAGGATTCTCCTGGAGTATCAGAGCCCAAAGCCAGTGGTCTTCACTTGACATAAGCCAACATTCGAGAAGCCATAAGGCCAGTGCTCCTGACACACTATTGTGCCTTTTCCTTTGGGAGTGACTGCGGGCCCACTCTGCTTTTAACAGTAGGAAGTTAAATATTTACATTTGATTTGAGTTTGGCCCCGTGACTGTCTGGCTTGTTTCCTGTCGAAGGTCCAGGTTCTCTGTTTTAAGGTAGAGGGTGAATTGTGTGATGAGGATAGGGGTGGGGCAGTGTGGAACACACCCTTTCACCTGCAGCTCCCCACTCCAAACACAGAGAAAGACTGGATCATGTATGGCACATTTTAAAGATGCGTTACATTTGAACCTATTAACCTAATGCTCATAGTATCAAGAAAAGATCATTTAAAAGATCACACAGGCATACTTAAAAAGCACAAAAAGTTATATTTTCTCATGCCAGAGGACAGAATCTTATGAGTTCTTGCGATGAAAGCTACATCTTAGGGAGTGAGAACCTAACGTCTGCCTGGGGGTGTCTGGGGCCTGCAGATGTGTAGAATGAATGTCAGAATGAGCAACTTTCTAAAGCCAGGAACCAGGGTAGAGTCCCTGTGTCTCTGAATAGAAACTAGCAGTGCTTAGCCTTCTGTAGCAAGAAATGCATCTCAAAAGCTCATGCTGGGCCTGGGCCTGGGGTGAAACAGGAGTCATACAATAGAGTCAGCACCCCAAATGTGGCTGATGTGAGGGGGCTCAATTCACACTGTCTGTGCTGTTCAGAAAATCTGAGCAGGAATTGAAGGTAAAAGCTGATCTGGAACAGATTGTAACCCAAAGGCCTCAATCCTAGCACAAAAATCATTGCCCCAGAACCCAAGGCATTTCTGAGACTGATTCCTAAGGAAGGTGAGCCCACAGCACCTGTGGAGACTCATCATGAGGGCGAGCAGACTCCATAAAAGAATTCACCTCTAAGGAGCTGCAGGTAACAGAGGGATTAAAATGGACCTTTGATTATCCAAAAAGCATCTTAAAGGAAAAAATAAAGTAACATAATCCAAATTCCAACACGAGACTTGAAAAAAAAGTAACAACAAAATGGAAAATAAAGTCACCGAAAGAGAGCAAGTGAGCTGGACTGGACTGTCTCCTGTCTGTTGGCTCTGTCCCTAGCTGCAGGGTCCATGGGGACTGTGCCTCCCTTGACCTTGAATCTCAGTGTCCTAGCATAGCGTCTGGTCCCGGGTGGGCTCACAGCACACATGTACCTGCCAAATGGATGGATTGCCAGCTTAAGTGTTCGTAGGAAGGTGATATTTTCAGGCACTTCACATGTGGACTTCGGTGGCATCAGATCTTTTCTGCTCTAGTCAGGCACCGTGGACATCACCTCAGCGTGTGAGGGAACCAGGTGTGCTGGTGAGAGGAAACCAGCAGAGTACCTTAGTCACCCATTGCTCTTGGCTTATGAACTGCAGTGGAAACAGCCCAGCCTGCACGGTGGATTTCTATTATGGTGCCAGTAGAAACAGAGGGGCTTTCCTCTGTGAGCTGGCTGGCTTGCAGGAGCTCCCTCTCCACAGCAGTTCTCTAGCCATGTCCCGTCACGTCTTTCATTGTGTTTGCTAGTCCTGTGCTAACAAGGATCTTTGAAAAATGACTGGTATGGTAATGATCTACGAAACTTACTGTAGATAGCAATTAAATATGGTTAACGGCGGGTTACGCTGACACATTAAAAGGCCCACAGGCTGCGATTTATGGAGACAGCACTGCTGCCTCCTTTGTATGTGATGTATTTTTCTGGTTTCTCCTTAGGCTGTCTGGTCTCAGAAGGGAATGATTTCTAGGCCTTCCCCACCATTGCTCCAGTTGCTGGTCCACCCAAAATCCCGTCAGCAGGCTTTACTGTCCCTCCTGCACCTCCTGAGGCCCTCAGAGTTCTTGAGCTAGCTTTTGTCAAGGTAAGACCTAGGTCAACACTTTCTTGTACAGAAAAGTCATGTGTTATCAGAGGAGAAAATGCAGATATAATATTGGGATGACTCTTGTAAGTGATGCAAGATAATTTGATGACAAGAATTGAGATTATATGCTGAGATCTGACTGTCTTACACTTTGTTAATTTCTGAAAAGAATAGAAATGCAATCCTAGCTAAAGGAAGAGACGTAGTCTGGCTTACCAGTGGCCAGCAAGCTCTGTAAAGAAACGTTGCCTTTTTGCAGCCATCTCACCTAATATGAGACTCCAGGTAGAAGAGAGCTCCCAAGAAGTCAAAGCACAAACCAAGATCATGTAAATTACTCTCAAGTGAACAACTAGGCAAGGGATAACCAACCCTGTCCCAACTGTCTCACACCCCCACTGGCCCCCTGCGCTCATGGATGCCACGTTCTTCAACGTTTGCACTTCTGTTAACAGGCTTGAAGGAGAGCAAAGATAGGCTCCTTTACCAAGAGCCCATTGACCGAATACAGACACGACGCTAATACCAATACGTGTAAAACAAGATCCTGAGATGCTGTCAAGTTTTTCTCCCTCAGTTGTGACCAAGTGTATGTGCTCTCTTGCCTTTGGGTTGCTCATGTTTTTGGGTCACAGGATCAAAAGCAGAAGTGTCCAGGCCACTAGGAGACACGGCAAACCATTATCTGTGAAAGACTGGGTTTTCTGAAAGAAAACAGTCTGGACGCTGCCAGTGGAGGGAAGAGTCATGGTATGAAGTTTTCCATGATAAGAGAGAAGAGCAGCCAGGCAGTGGGCATGCAGGGGGCGTGCTTGTTGTTGATGGTGTTGTGGTTGTTGTACCCCAAGGCCCGGGGACAAGATGGCCCCATGTACACAAAGGTCATGAAAATGCAAGGACCCTGGATATTGAGTGTCATGTCCTTGGGAACAGTGATAACATGTCCCTGTGTCCAAACTGAGCTCAGTCAGCTTATCTAAAACAGACAGGGAGTACCTCCGTGGGAACAGTTGGAGCCGAAGAACAGGGAACTTTCCCTTTGATGTCTGGACTCTACAGATACTTCGGGAATTGTGTTCAAGTCCAGGAGGAATGGCTGAATACATGATTGAGATAAATTTGCAGCCAGGAGGTTGAAGAGAAATTAGGATCCGATTTTACTCAGTTGGGAGGAATCATGGCCCAGCATCGATCTTCTGGGCCTTCATAGATCTTCATAGATCTTTCTTCTGAAGTTATTTGGAATTTGACCATAAGATGAATTTTCCCAAAGAAGAAAGGAGGTGGAAGCTGATGCGAAGGCCCCATTTCCACGTGTGAATTTCTAAGAAACCACAGCTTTCCTCTGGAGTGGAAATGAATGGCACCGGGGTCCATGTTGCCAGAACCTTGTCCTTGGGGACAAGGAATGAGGACTTGTCACCTGAAGCATAGGATTCATAGTAGGCGTGGGAATGAAGCCTCTGCCTTTGTGGAAGTGACTAGTTCGCCCAAATCCAAGGCGTTTTCCACAACCGAGAGGCCTGGGCTGAGGATAGAGATTTGAGCCTTACCTGACACATCCTACTGGGAAGTTGCATCAATGGTCAGTGTCTGAGGCCATGGAAAGTGTCACATGACGGTGTGTCACAGGGTCCCACATTTAGGACATTTCTGAACTCAAAAATAATCTTTGATGACCATGACTCACAGAAACTTTTAATAATTACAACAGGTTTGGGATCAGTTGATGATCACAGATGGTTCAAGCCACCTACCTAAATCCCTCTGGGGAGGGGTGGAGGCTCTGGACAGGGAGATATGAAGCTGGAGGCATGGCTTAGTCTCCCTAGCCTGGGTGTGGCCAGGCAAAGCTGGGACATCCTCAACCCAAAGTTTTGCTGGATTTAAACTCCTTGTAGATATTCCTAACCAGTGGTGATACGGAAGGGATAGGAGGAGAAAAGGATGGCTCTTCATCAAGAGCAAAAGCAAGAGATTCAGATAGGGGATTTCACTTGGCTTTTCTAGTCTTGGCCGGGGGGGACCCATTATGGTATGAAGAGCTCTGGAATCTTCTAGAGAAACAAGCATGGGTGTCCTTTAACAGGTCCCTGAGAGCCAGTTACTGTGGAACAATGGCTGTTACCAGAGCTTATTGCAGACCTTGTAACCTGAATCATGTGTTGGCCCAGGCCGACCCAGGAAGGTGTCTTGGGAAGGAAATTCCAGGCTGAGGTAAATACCGACAGCCATTGACTACGGAAGCATTTCAGAGACAGGCTCCAAGAGCTTTGGAAAGTGGAACATTCAGCTGCTTCCTACAGTTTATAAGGGGGCTGGCAGTGGTTGTTTCGGGGAGGATAAAAATGGAGAAAGAGAACTGGTACGTTATGGTACACAGTGAAGATTCCTTAGGAGTAAGCTAACAGCTAGGGAATTCTTAGGCAGTTTCAATCAAAAAGTGTTACAGAGAGGAGCGCTGTAGAGTTCGTAGGAGACTCGGTTTGTCTATATGGCCCCAAAGCTGAAGAAGTAGTTGACACAGAGACCTAGGTGGTCCCCTGGGTGCCAAACCTGGGCAGAGAATGGTCCTGAATGGCAGCCCCTCCCCCCCAGCTTCAGTCAGAGCTCTCCAGCAAGTCTGCCTGCCGGGACTCACGGAGTTGCAGTGGTCAGATGTCATTAATGGCTTTCTGCTTTGACTGGATTTCAGACATAAGTAAGAGAAGAGGGGGAGGTCTTCTGGTAACACATACAGTAAAGTTGCACACACCACCTCTGCTCATATTTGATGGGCTGGGACTTAGTCACTAAGCCACACCCAGCTGCAAAGGTGCTGGGAAGCGTTGCATTCTCTGATGGCCACATGCCCAGCTAAATATTGGGGTCATATATTCCCATATAGTAAGACATAAGCAAAGTGCAGACACTGAGAATCACTAGCCGTTTATATCACAGGTACCTTCACAGCCCAGAAGAGAGACTGGGTTGAGTTAAAATAAACACTGGAATAAATACAATGAGAAGACAGAAAGCCTGCTGAGAGCACCAAGGTACTTGAGTAGAACTTTAAACAGTGTCTTTGCTAATTTTTACGGTAACTGTTCAGGTAGTCTGTTTCTTTAAGCAAATTGTTTTCTGATTGTAGAAGCAATAATAACTCATTGTATCTTGCTTGGGAAAAAACTAAAAAGTATAAAAAATCAAATATAATTAATTTTCATACTACCAAGAGACATTGCTGCTTCCATGTTGATATGTATTCATCTTGTATTTCCTACAGATACACACCCACAGACAGGTTTATGTTCATAACGGGATTTGAATGCATGTGTTTATATCTTATACCTGGATTTCTTTCACTGAAATAGTTTCATCACTGTCTTTTCTCTTGGTTGTATCCTAAGAGTTCTTTTTTTCTCTGATAGAGCCAGGTCAAGGAAGGAGAAAGGAAAGCAGATTATTGTACCTGCCTTCTCTAACTGCGTTTGGAAAGAGAAGGATCATTTCAAAAAGGGTTAAGGAGCAAAAGCACAGAAATCACTTACACAGGTGATCACACTTGGACTTTGCTAGTGAGCCCTGCCTGCCCGCTCTGCTTCCATTCATGCAGGCCCAGCTTGGGCTTTTCCTCCAAGTGTTGATAGCAGTCATTTATGAGGGAGGAAAGGAGCAGAATAAACACACTTCTTAGCTCCCAGGCGCTGTGTGTGTATACAGAGGCACGGGTTGATGGGAAACCTCAACACGTCCATGATCTTCATCAAGACTGGATACCTGCAGTGTACACTCCAGGCCGGTGGACATAGTTCCCCCTGGGCCCCTCAATTGCACCTCAGCTGCCACATTAGGGCCCCTCACCCGAGTCCACGCGTGGGTTGTTCCCTCCTGTGGCCCACCTAAGGTATTCAGGCCTCCTGGAGCCCGGGGCACAGCCTCCTCGTGCGGGCTTCAGCTGGAACTGGAAATTGCATTTCTCAAGGTCAGGTTTTCCTTGCGCCATAGGCTAGCTTTAGTAACTAGCAGTGTGTGTGCACGTGTGGTGTGTCTGTGTGTGTGTGCGTGTGTGTTAGTGAGTGGGAGAGAGGGAGGGCTATTTATTCTCAAGTCTGTCCTAGTTAGGGAGATATTCCCTAGGATTACAGTATGAATTAACATTCTTTAAACACACACACAGACACACACACACACACACACACAGACACACACGCATGCACGCACAGACACGCGCCTCACGCCCTCCTCCTCCTCCTGCCATGATGGACAGCAGGCGCAGCCCAGGCCCCGCAGGTCACTCTGCGTCCAGGATTCCCCCTGGGGCTCTTCTTTCCCGGGGTCCCCCAGGAAGGTCTGAAACAGCCCGGACCCTGCTCCCCATTCCTTCCCAGCTCAGCCTCCACCTCCCCCAACTTTAGGCGCTGAAGGAGGCAGGTTTCTCCTTTGTTAAGGACCCAGAGGGCAGGCTCCTAGGGTGCTGAAGGGGGCGGAGGAAGCAGCCACCTGCCACACAGGCTCCCTCAGCCCCTCGGGAACCACCCCCACCCCAGCTGCCCGCAGCATCCTGCGCTCCCCGGACAGGTTCTTCACCAGGGCCGAGGAAAGGCAGCTAGCCCAGGAATGAATCGACAGCGCACGGAGAGCGGCTACATCGCAGAGATTCCTGGATAGCAGACAGCCCATTGGAACCCCACAGGGTCGTGCCTTGGCGGGGGCCGCCTTCGCCTGCAGGGTCCCGGGACGGCGGCTGGGCGCGGCCGGCTTTGCCGGCGTCTGCGCTCTCGCCGCCGCGCGGTCCCGTCTGGCTCCTCCCGACCCAGCCGAGGGGGGCGGTGAATAATGCATCCCCCGGAGGGCGCGCGGCGGCGGGGCTGGGCTGGGCGCGCAGGGGGAGCCCCTCGGGCCCCCGTCTGCCTCCATCTTACCGTACCCAGAGACCACACTAAAATGGTGGCCGACGTGGAGACAGGGACGCGCCCTTCTAGCTACGGCCACGGGCGGGATGCTGAGCGCTGTGTGGGTAAGAAGCAGGGCTCGCCTTGGAGTCTCCTGCGCACCGAGCCCTGCGTGCTGATGTCTCTGACGGTCCGGGTGCTAGGTCACAATGCTTTCATTTTCTAAATTTATTTTCTCTGTGTATTTTGTTGTTTTATTTTACCTGCACAGCTTCACCCCTGTCTTAGGAAATAACCCTTTCTGTCTGCTTTTCTTTCTTTCTGTAAAAGAATCACCTCGCCTTTACCTGGCAGGCTCGGCTGCATCTCCCAGTGGCCGTACTGTTCTCTCCACCTCTAAAATACACAGAAACATGTGGAAATGTTCCGTCATCCAGATTGAAAAGCATGTGCACCAAATTTTCACAGACCTGATACTAATGTAGATAAAAGTGCAAAATCCGGAGGGGGGACCCTGCCTCGCAGACTGTAATTTAATCATCGTGTGCCACACAATGTCTTTGCATAAATTACAACCACAATGATAGCATCACTTTCACAAAAGGTGGCCTCTAATCGATTTGGCTCTCCAAGAGATGGCTGGATTTTTCAAAGCAGAGAAATGACGTCCAGCCGTCTTAAAGAGCTGCTGATTGCACCTGGGGCTCCCGAGGCAGGCACCCATCGAGCGGCCCATCCTGCCTGTTCCCTTGTTCAGCTGGTTTTCTTTTTCAATCTTGACATTTGCTAACCGCTTGGTTTTTATTTTCCGAGAACAGAGGATTATTGGCAACTGGCACCACCCCCAGCCTGGAGGAGGGACGTTTCTGGGATGACCCCCAGAGTGGAGAAATTGCCGAGGTAACCTTTCTGCTGTAAATTTCTTCCCCTGCCTCCTTCTTCTGTTCCCCTCCTTTCCCTCATCCCTTGAACAAACATGATTTTAAAATTCTCCTCATTTTCTGTGCTTTGGAGTCTTCTCAGATCTGGACGAGGACAGCTCCTGAGCTGCACCGAGCAGTTCCGGAGCCCCGGCTCCCTTTCCCCGGGCCTACGCCCCTAAAGAGAGCCTTTTTCAGGACCATGGGAGCATGTTTTAAAAGGCTTTCTATTGAAGCGAGGCCGCCAGCCAGCCGTGCGTGTCTGCATTGTGGTGGTCCCAGAGACTTCTGGACAATCCCTTTGAAAGAATAGGGTTGGGAAGATTCTCAGGACAGAAGCGGCTAATTTCCATCCTTAGAGCTTTATCTCACAAAGGATACTCGATAGAAAGAAAAAAATGGAGTCTGTGGAAGCTTTGCTCCTATTTCCAAATGGGTTGACTCTGGATGGAGAGGAATATTTTCACATTTTTCCCAATAGGGGAAAGCTTTTAGTGACAAAAACCCTCAAAGGAGAATGAACGTTACACATCACACGTGTATGTTTAAGGGTAGAATTAAATGGTAAAAAACCTAGTGAGTACAAGCACACAATGGGCATTCGGTACAGGTTAAATCAATAACCAAGAAAAGCTCACAGTTGTTACTGCTGTCTAAAAGAGTGGTGATTATTAACAGATGCAAATGTACACCCCCTTTGTCATCACAACAATGTGAAAGTCTTATCTCTGATCATTACCATGGGGACACTTAAATATTTAGTCCTGGGGACAACATGGTTTGTGGACAGGACGTCCTGTGTGTTTATGTGCACATGTAAGATGCACCCTGGGCCCCAGGACTGCAAAGCCTCTGACTGTGTCATTTACATTCAGGAGTGGTCCTGATCAACGTGGCCCCATAGAATAGTAGACGGAATTTCAGATAGCACAGTTTTCGATAATAAACGCTTTCCACTGACTCTGTTTATATGTGGAAATTGGAAGTGCTGAGTGAAAAAAATAATGAAAATAAAGACAGGAAGCATCTTTACAACAAACACTTTTTCCTCTCTGCAAATCAGATTATTCCCTTGCGCACCCTGCAACCCCCATCTATGTTGTCAAACTCAATGGACGGTTGAACGAACAGCCTGAGAATCACCAGTGTGAGAGTGTGCGTGTACATGCTGTGTAACTCAAATTGGGCTGGCCACCACGGCTGTGTATAACCACCCCGGGAAGAGCCCCTCCCTCCTCAGCGTTTCTGTGGAAAACGTGCTGAGTGGGACCCAGCTTCAGAAATCACATTTGGGCTGAGAGAATGGTTTAACCCTTGTCATGAGGGGTCTTCACTCCAGAACACTTGCCAGCTCTGCTTGTCCATTTCCCATTCTTTACAGTTTTTCCTATCACTCCTTAGACTAAAAAAGAAAAATCTATAGGAATGATTCGGTGGAGTTTCTCTTTTGTTCATAAATAAACCTCATCCCTGGCTGAGCTCTTTCACACCAGGGAAATTGCTACCACCGGCTTGGAAGCCAGGCAGATCTGGGCATTCCTCCTCATTTCCTTATTTGCTTTGTGCATGATCTTTTCCCAGCTTCTCTCCTATTTTACTCTTCTTAGTGAGAGCTTCTTTAGCTGCAGAACAGGGGCAATAATGCTTGCCTTGCAGGGTTATAGTAGAGAATGCTGTTTATGCAGAAAAAAGAAAATACATAGCATACAATAGGAGCTTAATACATAGGAGCTATAAACAGACTTTTGTGTGTATATCAATGTATTTCATGCCCTTAATATTTATTTAAAGCAAGTATACTCTCTTGAACTAAGCATAAAAAGTCATTAAATGCCAGAGATGTGCTTATTTGAAAGGTTTGCAAAGCTTTGCAATTGATTTAAAATAAGGAGATGATATAACAGGGTCTTAGATCTGCCACTAATTAGTCACGCAAACTTAGATTATGTCACTTCCCTGGGTCTCAGTCATAAATAGTTGCTTAACAAAGGTGTATATATATATATATTTTGCTGTCATAAAGAATCCAAAATTAGGCAGTGAAATATGGAAGCTACATGGGTAGGGCCTTCTGTGACGTTCAGGTCCTGGAAGGAAGTGTGAGTTGGCACCTTCACCTCCCTCCCCACCAGCGCCCTCCGGAAACACTGCTCTCGGGAGTCAGGGGCGCTTTTCCTATTTCTCCTTCACTTGGTTGAGAGGCCAGCCTGGCAGGAGTCATCCTGTTCTTGGAGGCAATGTGGACCTGACCCAGGCTCTAGCACCGGGTGTGACTGCAGCCTTTCTCCCTCCGGGTGGCTCCGAGTCCCTTGGATTCCCAGTCGGGACTGAGGAGGGCCCACTCTTCCTTACCACCAGGCCTAGGAGCTGGTGAGAACATCCCCCCATTTCAGGCACTGGGAATCAGCATTCTTTGGCATATGCCTGGATTTGCCGCAAATTCATCCTGCAAAGTCTCTCCTCTCCTGACCCCAAATGTTCCTGTCCTGACACCCAGAGGGCAGGTCCAGGGCCTCTGGGGGTCCTTCCAGTGCTCCCCTGTCATCTTTTGAATCAGAGCTCATGAGGCCACCCACATAGGTGGGCTGGAGAGGAGTGACAAGAAGCTCCCCGTCGGACAGAAGTGAGCAAAGGCACAGAGGCCCACAGAGACTCCGCACAACCGAAAAGACCAACTTCCGCATTTGCAGGGGACGTGGAAATGCAATACCCCGAGGGACAAAGGGAAGCCTCATCTCTGCAAGCTGGGAGGAAAAACAGGCAGTGTAGACAGCAGAGGCAGGACCAGAGCTGACCAGAAGGCTGGGTCCCAGCAACAATTAGAGACAGGCAGCAGCTGAGGCCCCTTCCCCAAGAGCCAGTTCAATTGCAGTGGCCACAGAAGGCTCCATTGGCCCAGCAGCCAGCTCGGCAGAGCCATTTGTCCACAAGGAAAATAATAGCCCCAGCCTCATTGCTTTGGGCTGCAGGGAGGACAATGACCCACCATGAAAAGAGTTAAAAAGATTCTGGGGAAGGGGAAAGGCAGGCCCACACGGTGGCAATTCAAGATCTTTTGGATGCCGTGAGCGTGTTCTTTAATTAAGCCCCTCTTCTTCAGCTCATCCTGCAGAAATGCACCTGCTTCCCATCTGCCATCCCAAACGGCGAGCACCAGAATGACTTCACACTGTTACTTTCAGAGTTCCGCTGTGGCCCACAGTGATTTTTCAAGAAAGGCAGCCACAGACTCGCTCGCTCTTTCTCTTTCTCCCTTGCTCTGAAAGATTCTATAAAAAACACATTAAAAAGTGTGCGAGCCAAGCAATTTCATTTATCAAAGGGAGAAGGTCATACATAGCATTCATTCTAGGAACATCAGGCATACGGCCAGCCCTGGACACAAGGCGTGAAGACCAGAGGCCCCTTTAGTGACCTCAACTCTATTTTATCGCCCAAACTGCATCTGTGCCTGAGAGCTGGGACACACAATATTTCCCTCTACCAAAATAATTGTATTTTCTGGGGCAGCATGTAACAAACAATGAAGGGTGGTGACGTGGGCTTATGTTATTTGCCGAACAACCCAGTTCTGTTTGGTGTGCCTGCGGTGGTTGTTATTTTAGGGGGTTCAGCGCGTATTCCGTTCTGCCAGTTGGTCCCATTCACATGGGCCTGCAGCAGGCGCGAGCCCGTGCCCTGTCATCTGCCACCTTGGAAATCATGTTATTGCCAGAACTGTGTTGGGGCCTTGCTTGAGGGCCTGTCCCCTACCCTCTTCACAGATGTTCCTGCGCCTTCCAGGAGGGGACTGAACGTGCTGTTTCCCTCTCCTTCCTGGGCCTGCTGTCTCCAAAACTAAAGGAGGCTGCAGTGAAACCAACTTGGCCCAGGTTCCTCTGGCGCCCGAAGGGGCTCAAACTATCCAGACTACAGTGGCTGATTCCCAGCGACCCATCCCTTTGTAGCCTTGTGCCCTGTTGAAGAAGTGGCCCATATTATGAACAGGAGAGCTAAGGCCATGAACAATTTGTGCAGGAGTACAAAGAAAGTGCAAGTACAGGTGGCTCACACCTGTAATCCCAGCACTTTGGGAGGCTAAGGCGTGGATCACTAGGTCAGGAGTTCGAGACTTGCCTGACCATTGTGGTGAAACCACATGTCCACTAAAAATACAAAAATAAACCAGGCATGGTGACAGGTGCCTGTAATCCCAGCTACTCAGGAGGCTGAGGCAGGAGAATTGCTTGAACCTGGGAGGCGGAGGTTGCGGTGAGCCAAGATCACGCCATTGTACTCCAGCCTGGGCAACAGAGCAGGACTCGGTCTCAACAACAACAACAACAAAAAAAAAAAAAAAAAAAGAAGGAAAAGAAAAAAGAAAGTGCAAGTCAGAGATCCTTGTCTCAGCTCCTTCTCTTGAAAAATGACTCCATGCCCTGAGATGCTGTAACTGGAACAGTGTGAAGTGGTTTCTCCCCAAAAAACTGACCCCTGATGGGTTCTCCCATTAGACACCTGCTCCTCCAAGCCTGCCCTTCTCTCTGCATCCGCTTCCCCTATGCCTCCCCTGCCCACCATGCAAGGCGTCTCCTTGTCACACACGTGATCTCTGGTCCTACCTTGCACTTGGCACTGCAGGCTGTGATCCCCTCTGCCTCTGTCTCCCCACATTGTCTCTGATGTCAGCTTTCCCTGTGCGCTCATCTTGCTTGCTCAGGAACTCAATGGATGCGCTTGTTCTCTGATAATTTGATTATTCCATTATCAGCCCAAAGCTCACTGGGTCTATAGGGCTGAGAGGTCATTTTTATTATATCATTTTAATTATTCAGATAAAAGACTCCCAGGCACAGATTTATCACCACTGCCTAAAGAAAACAGAGACACACATAATTCCACTTTGAAAATCCGTACTTAAAAGCAAAAATATGATTCAATTGAAGGTATTCAGAAAAAAAAATTGCACATTGAAAAAGCCTGATGGTTTTTAGCATTTCAAATAAATTGTATACAGTTATGGTCATTTTTTGACTATTTTCAGGACTGGGAGCTGATCGTTACCTCTCTTTTTCAGTAACAAAATGTGTCTATCATCTCCCAGAGTGTCAACTAATCTGGTGGCTGGAAACAAACCAACCAACAAAGAAACAAAAGAAGGTCTGTCAAGAAGAGCTGACTTTTCAAGTGGTTCCTTAAAACAGAGGTGATGGGTAGGTGGAGACAAAACCACCAAACACCCAGGCTGGACCTGTTTATCTCTGGGCAGCAATCTGTTCGATTTCATGACAAAACAAGGCTTGAAATCAGGGTTTCCATTTCACAAACTAAACAGGCACGTGTGCACACACACGTGCACACCATGCATGTCCCAGTGCACACACGCACAACCCATTTCGTAGGGTCCCGGCAGAATTCTCTCCGCAGGAAAAGCGCTCATTCTTGCTGATTTGTGGCTTTCTCTGATTTGCCTCTGGTTGGGCCTCATGATGCAGGACCGGCGGAGGCGTCAGGTCAGAGCTGGAATATGTAAGCTCTTCCCATCCCTTCTCCATGCCCAGGGCTGAGCAGTGGTTAGAAGGGTAAGCGTGACACACCCAGAGACTCATCCCCTCTACGGCATTTTCTGTCTTGCCTCTTTCCACTGTGGACCTTTCTTCTTAGAGTAGCTTTTGATCAGGCTCACAGTTGTCCACTTCTTAGGACTGGCCATGTTTCACAATTCCTCCAATTGCCTTTCTTTTCCTGGATGTTCTCATTGACACCTGTATTAGAGTTTTCCAGAGAAACAGGATCAATAGCACATATGGGGATATACAAAAAGCTATTTATGATGAGGGATTGGCTCAAATAATGGTGGGGACAGAGAAGTCCCACAATCTGCCACCTGAGATCTAGAGGCCCAGCAAAGCTGGTGATGTGATTCCAGTCCAAGCCCAAAGGCCTGAGAACCAGGACCACTGACATGCAAGGACAGGAGAAGATGGATGTGTCAGGTCGAGCAGAGAGGAAACTCACCCTTCCTCTGCCTTTTTGTTCTATTCAAACCCTTAGCAGATTGCACGGTGCAATTGCCCACACTGGTGAGGGCGATCTTTGCTCAGCTTACTGAATCAATGCCAGTCTCTTCCAGAAGCACCTTCAAGATATGCTCAGTAGGAAAGTTTCCCCAGGTATCTGGGCATCCCTAAGCCCAGACACATCAACTGAACCATCATAACACCTAAGACTTTAACTTCCAATTGTATGCTGGTGTTTATGAAACGCTGACAGGCAGCTCATCCCTCTCTGTTGAACCCTGCATGGGTTCAAAGCCTGCTGGTCAGCTCTGTCCCATTCTGCAGGCACCACAACCTCCAACCATCCAAATAAAGTAAGTGTCCTTGCTTGCTCTACTTCTGACCTGTCCTTCACAATCTGCTTCTTCTCCAAATTAACTATGTGTAATCTGTGACATTCTCATCATTAGCCCAAGGTAGAAATCCAATACACACACACACACACACACACACACACACACACACACACACACACACACAATCCCTATATCCCCTTAATTTGTTTTCCGAATCCTGCTGCTTCTGCTGCTGAAACATTACTGGAAACCCCCTTTCCTCTCATGCCCACTACCATTGCCCAAGTTTAGGTACTCATCAATTCTTGGCAGTGTGATTTCTAATGCACCTAATGGGTTTCTTATATCCAGGTCCCCCCTTAGTCTCCCATCTGTCTTCCGCTCTGACCCTAGACTGGTTTTTCACATATAAAGCTCTGTTTTTCAGCACTTATAGAATAGGCTTCTCAGCACAGCACTCGAGACTTTGCAAATGTGCTTTCAACCACTCCATGCACCTGTGCAGACTCCCAGTCTCCACTCCCCTCTCTTCAACACCTGTGCCCCATCACCAAGAGGCTGCCCTCAGCCCTTTTCAACTTTTCTTCACACATTCCTAGTGTGTCCCTCCACTAGGAATGCCTTTCCTCTCCCGAGCTTGGCAAAGTACACTTTCTCTTGTAATGCTGTGTGCTGTATACCATAGTTTATATGCCCCAGGCTCCAGGAAGTTAGGTCTTGTGAGTGCAAGTGAGGGGCTTGTCACGAGCTTGTCACCTGCCTCAAACTCGGGATGTCTGACCCTTTCTCATGTGTAGCTTGGGGCAGGATCAGGATAAAACGAGGCGGGTGGACAGTGCTGAACATGGAGATGGTTCTGGGAAGCCTCTGTGTGATTAATATCACAAGGCCTCGGGTGAAGACCCCGGCAGCCTCTCCTCCCTCGGCTGGTCTCAGCCCGGGGAGATGGCGTCCTTGCCATCCTAACTACCACACTGTGTTCCTGTTTGCTACAAGGACACAATCAGCATCGTTACCCCATTCTCCTGAAAGCCCTTTCCATCGGTTTTCTTATTCAAGGCAATGGTTTTTAATCCCCATTACACAAATGAGGAGACAAAGATTCAGACAGAGCAGGCAATTTTTCAAGGCGGCGGTTCACCCTCTGATTCCCTGGACTAGAGTCATCCTGTGGAAGCTCTGCCTCCCTCCTCTGGTCTCTCTCCCTTCTCCCGTCCTCTTTCCTCAAACATGTGTCACCTCTGTCTTATTCTCTGCCCACTCACCCCACCATCCTTTCTTGGCTCACATCTGAGGTACTCCAGGCTATCAGATTAGGTAGAAATTCAAAGATATGAGAAAATGGCAAGCATGGGAACACAATTTTGGCCAAGATGAGTGGCAGCATCAGAAGGAATCCCCACCCATGAGTCCCTCCATGCCTCGTCAAGCTGCATCTGTCCATAGAAGAACAGCCTCACTCTGACCTCCTGTGTCTTCCACGTACTATTGATCTTATATTTGTTTTCTGCAACTTGAACAAAATAATGGGGTTGATGTTCTCCAGAGGATTTGACTACACTCATATAAAGTCTCTAATTAAAGTGAGCATGCAACGTTTATCAAACTTCAGTGGAAAAGGATTTCCTGGAAGACCTTTGGAAAGGCGTATCCATTCTCATCTTTAGTCATGCTGCCTGGGTAGTTCTGCGCAGGAGTCCCAGAGTGTCAGGGGATTCCTGATGGAGGCCAACAGGAGTCTCATTTTGAAAGTCACTGGCGAAAGAAGAATTGACTTTGAATTTAGACAACCTTGGTTCAGACCTTACCTTTGCCTTTGCAAATACTAGAATTTTGAAAGACTTGCACATTTTTATTCAACTTTTCATTTCATTTTGAAAATAAAAGCTTCTCTTTTCATTTTATTTTGACTTTCATTTTTTTCTCTTAGAAAACAAAACAAAACGAAACCTACCTCAAGGCATTATTGCCAGAATAAAATAAAATCAATTAGATTAATCCATTAAATTATGAAATAAAAGTAGCCATCCTATGTGGCTTTTCATATAAATAGAAAAAAATGGTTTTTTTTAACATCAGAATGAATATTTTATAAAAGTATAATTACTCATAAAGGAAAATATAATCCATTAAGAAAGTGGTTGTTTTATTTAGTTTGAGAATTACATGCTATTAATGTGTTTGTATCATTAGAAATTCTGCAGAGATCCCTGCAGAAAATAATTATAACCATTTCCCTTTATTTCAACTTTGACTGTGTTAGCAGGTCTCCTGAAGGTACTGCCTCTGACACCTCCTGGAAATCCTGTGTGCATGACAACAAGCATTATTTGAATGCTTGGCTGAGTTCAGGAGAGTGAAGAGCTGAGTATTGGGAGATACCGGGAAGCCCGATTTGTGCACCGAGGGATTGGGGGCAATCGCCACAGGAGACAGAAGTTGAGTCCTTGAATCCTTGGGTCAGAAATCAGAACTTACACCCATCTTCTTCTCTACCTATCCAACTAAGCCTGGCCCTGGCTGAGCTAAACCCTCACTGAAAAGTATGCAAGAAAAAACCTGCCTACTGCCTCAGGGGGCTAGAGCGAATTCCAGGCTGTGTCTACCTGGGGTGAGTGCGCATTACCTAAAACACAGGTGGTGGGAACTTCCTTGAACTGTAACCAGGGACCTAACTCCTAAAGGACGAAGGGCTGTGACGGAGAAGATCAAGCCTGGGAAGCCTGGCGCCCCTGGTGGAAACACACGCACACCACTCTGGGAAAACGAGCTGCCGCGCGTCCCCAGTCCCCAAATTCGTATGGAACAAGTATGCTTAAAATGCTTAAAGACATTTTAAAACGGAAATATTGTTATTAGAAAAGACAAAGGATGCTTCAAAAATACAAGATAGATTCTGGAAAAAAATAAATGGAACCTGTTAAAAATGTATCGTTGAAATTGGGGTAATTCAAATGAGAGGAGCAGCATATATGAAGCTCATGAAAAGAGAAATAATGTGTGGTAGAAGAGATTTGAATAATTTATCCCATATCAAGCAAAAAAAGATGAAGGTGTTTCTACAGGTAAACCTCATATTACCTGTTAGAAATAACCTATCGCTAATTAGAGAACCAAATAAAGAAAACAGGAAAAAAAATAAAAGTTGAAGACGGGCAGTATTCACAGAAATAATAAATATTTTTCCCACGACTTACGAAAAGAATGGAGTCTGGAGAATCAGGAATCTCAGTAAGTCCTAAGAAAAATAAATGAGTACATACCCAAACTCATTACAGTGAAATTGCATGCTACCCCAAACAAGACATGATTAAAACACACACACACACACACACACACACACACACACACACACACACACTGAGAGAAAGCAGACCCCCAATAAAGGAAAACCAATTAGTCTGATAGTAGACGTCTCAACAGTCATCAGGGAGGCTGGGTTTACTGTGACTGCCTAAATTAAAGTCCATTCCCAAGGACATCCCAAATGGCCAAATAACCATCCCTGCTTGTTTATAGAGTGCAAACGTTGATGGGATTTGCAGTGGATCGCCCCTCTACCTCCATCTCATTGAGCTCTGAGGCAAATGGATTCCCCTATCATAAAGTAGGAATGAGCATCTGAAAGAAACCGTTCCTGATTCCTTGTAAAAGTTCATTCATCAGGAGGAAGGGGAGTCTTCCCAGCCTTCATCACCTGTGGACGGCAATGTCCTCGCTGTGAAAGACACTGAGAAGTAAGAAGTTGCTCATGGAGCCCATAAGATTAAAGACAATATTGAAGCTGACTTCTTGGCTGCCTGCCTGTCTCCTCTTTCTGCAGGAGAAGTAAAGGAGTCTTTTAAGGACAAAGATGACAGTCTTTGGGCCTGGCAGTGTCCTTATCTAGAGACATACAGAATAATAGAAGATACTTAGAAGGAAAGTGAATTGATATCTTTATTTCCCCCCAAAAGTCTGTTCCTTTCTAGCCTGTTGCTCCCAAGAATGAGCCAGGAAGGGTGTGGCCCACAGCAACAGAGAGTAGATTCTCATCTGAGAACAAAGTATCTTGATGAAGACTTTAAAAGAAAGATGGATTTTCTTGACCTCCGTAGTCAGACTTAGTTTTGAAAGTCAGACTTTGAAGAGAGAGAAGAGATTTAGAATTTTTAAATCATCCCTTCTGAATGATAACGCTTTAAGCCCTGTCAATTTATTTTTATTTTTTATTTATTTATTTTTGAGATGGAGTTTCACTCTTGTTGCCCAGGCTGGAGTGCAATGATGTGATCTCGGCTCACAGCAACCTCTACCTCCCAGGTTCAAGGGATTCTCCTGCCCCAACTTCCTGAGTACCTGGGATTACAGACATGTGCCGCCATGCCTGGCTACTTCTGTATTTTTAGTAGAGATGGTGTTTCTCCGTGTTGGTCAGGCTGGTCTCGAATTTCAGACCTCAGGTGATCCGCCTGCCTCGGCCTCTCAAAGTTCTGGGATTACAGGTATGAGCCACTGCACCCAGCTGGGCCATATCAGTTCAATTATGATCATAGTGTTAGTGCTTTCCACAGAAAGTCTCCTGAGAGTAGAGAGAGGGATAGAATGGGAGAGGTTGAGGCTGAGGTCTGCTAGGGCCTTGGACTTGTCCTGGCAAAGTGGAGACTGCAGAAGAGAAGGAGAGGAGGTGTAAGGTGCTAGGTGTGGATGGTGGAGAAAAGCCAGGTGGGCTGGTATCCCGTAGCTCTTTTCATAGCTACTTGATTGTATCATTGCTTTAACATCATTTTGTCCCTGGGCGCGGTGGCGCGTGCTTGTAGTCCCAGCTACTCGGGAGGCTGAGGCTGGAGGATCGCTGGAGCCCAGGAGTTCTGGGGCTGTAGTGTGCTATGCTGATCGGGTGTCCGCACTAAGGTCAGCATCAGTATGGTGACCTCCTAGGAGCGAGGGACCACCAGGTTGCCTAAGGAGGGGTGAACCGGCCCAAGTCGGAAACGGAGCAGGTCAAAACTCCCGTGCTGATGAGTAGTGGGATCGCGCCTGTTAATAGCCACTGCACTC